ACATGTCACAGCGGAGCTGCCTAGGTGTGCAGGTGTTTGCCCCTGCAGAGAACCTTTTTTCTGGATGCTCAGGTCTCTTAAAAACCTCTGAGGGCTGGGGATTTAGCTCAGTGGCTTAAGGTGCAAGGTCCTGAGTTCAATCTATGGTACCAAAAAAAAAATAAAATAAAATAAAAGCCAGGCGTGATGGCACACTCCTGTAATCCCAGCACTCGAGAGGCTGAGGCATAAGGATCGTTGCAAATTTGGGACCAGCCTTGGATACAAACTGAGTCTAAGGCCAGCCTGAACTGCATAGCGAAACCCTAGCGACAAGACCAAAAAAAAAAGAAAAACCCACACGGCCCCAGGCAATCGAGAAGCACAGCTGTGCGTCCCTCTCTGAGTAGCCGCCTCCTCAGACCTGTGACATTCAGATTCCCGATCATCAAGACAGTGAGTGGCGTTTACAGAATCACTGCTTGGGCGCTGTGGAAAGATCGCCAGCAGGAAATGAGTCCAGCCATGGCATCCTGGGAATCACCGCCTCCGAGTCCTTGTTGTCTGGTCCAGTCCTGAATCACCCACATGGCTGCTGTCTACACCCGAAGCTCTAGAACACCATGCCATCCACGGGCAGCCAGACCACACACTCAGCCTCAGCCCGCTGCAGCTGACTAGAGAAGGAGCCCTCAGCTGGCTGGGAGGCAGCACCTGGGCTCTTCCCCCAGACTCCAGGGCGGTGATCTTGCCAGGATGAATCCACCCTGCGGCAAGCAGCACCCCAGCACCCCCGGTGCCTCCTCCTGGCCCTAGAAGGCCATGGCCTCTGGTTCTTGTCCCTGAACCTGGCTTGTGTGTCCCATCTGACACCAGCATTCGGGGGTCCCTACCCAGACCCAGCATCAGAGGCAAGAGCGGGATTTCCTTCTTCTCATGATGTGGGTTCTCTCCGGCTTTAAGGCACTTGGGGTTATGTCTGTTTGTTTGTTTTGGACTTTTGGTTGTTTGAGACAGAGTCCTGCTATGTAGTTCAGGCTGGCCTCAAACTCACAGTGATCTTCTGCCTCAGCCTTCTGAGTACCAAAGTTATAGGCTTGCACCACCATGCCTGGCAGGGCTTTATGTTTTAATAAACTGATTTCTTACACATCTGCATGCGTCTGGGGAGAAGATGTGCACCCTGCCACGCTCTCACCAAACTCCCTGCTGGATGCTGACACTGTGAACCGGTGTCTACACTGTCTCCTCTCTCTTCCCAGATGTTCTTATAGCTGGATCCTCACCTTATCTGATCTTAGCTCAGATTCTCCTCCTCAGACAGGGCTTCCTGGTCACCAAATCTAAACATCTAATACCACCCCTACCCTCCAGCTGCCTTAAATCTGTCACACCACAGTCAGATGAGGACTCCTCCCCAGAAGCTCAATCCAGAGATCAAGCCAGACACCCGCCCTCAGCCACCCAGAGTGGTCAGAAGTGCAGTCTGCATGGCAGAGAAAAGCAAAGTCTGCCCCTGGCTATTTTCTATAAAGTACAGGAAAGTTTAAAGCTTATGAGATTTTTTAGAAACTAGAGATAGAGCTGGCAAGAACGCAGAAGCACCCCATTCTTCAGCAAGACAACCTCGTGTGCACGTCAGAGCCGTGGTAATCCTTCAACTGTGCGACCTGAGGATCCTAATTCTAGACTTTGTCCTATGGAAGTAATCAAGAGTTGGGCCGGGGGCGGGGGGGGCGGATTTAGCTCAGCTGGACAAGTGCCTGCTTGGCAAACACGAGGTCCTGAGTTCAATCCCTGGCACCAAAAAAAAAAAAAAAAAAAAAAAAAAATAGAAGAGTTGGGCCGGGGATGTAGCTCAGCAGCAAAGCACCTGCTTGGCAAGCACAAGGTCCTGACTTCAATTCCTGGCACCAACAAAAAAAAAAAATTAAGAGCCATAAATAAGTTGTCCGTCGGTTCTATTTGTCACAGTGGAAAATAAAAAGATGCTACACAGCTGTTAGAATCTTTAGAGAGAAAACAACCCACAAGTCTTTTGATGCTGGTGGACAAACTAAAGGCAGCCTATGCATGCAAAAACAGAATAGTATTCAGCCTGAAAAAGGACTGGTGTTGTGACCCAGGCCACGGCACGGATCAACCTGGCTAATACTGTGCTAAGTGAAATACGCTGGACAGGACAGGTCAAATAGATCTGTCCAGTGCCTAGGAATTTAAGAGCAGTCAAAACCAGAGAGACAGAAAGCAGAACAATGATGGCCAGAGGCTGTGGCGAGTTGGAGAAACAGAACAGGGAGTTAGCGATTAATGGGCATGGAACTCTAGTTTGGGGAGATGAAAGATTCTGCAGATGACGGTAATGGTGGCTGGAAAATGACAGAGACTCAGGGCCACGGATAGCACGCTTACCAATGGCTGCAATGGTGAAATTTTCCTCTACGTATTTAACGTTATAAAAATAGGAGTAAGAAAATCCCCAGTATGGGAGAGATAGTAGCTAATAGTTTCTAATATCTGTAAAGGAAAAAACTCATTGTAAGCTTATGTAGAAACGATAAGACCGGAGAGATGTTCCAATCAGACTGTTAATAGGCCCTCTCTCTCCGTGGATTATCAGTAACATTCTCCTTCCTACCTTCCTGTGTTTCCAAATGTTCCAAATAAATGTGCAGCATTTTTATAACTAGGAAATAAAATAAAATTTAAAGCCCTCTTCCTCCCAGTCTGTCTCCTACCCTGCACTGTGATTCCGGGAACAGCAGAATGACAGCCTGTGAGTGGATGGTGCGTGCATTTCTGCACCGCAGCCTGTGTGCCCAGGAGAATAATATTAAGTGCCAGGAGGACAGATACTTTGCTCTGTTCTTGCTGGATCCTTAATTCTTGAACATTTCCAGATACTTAATGGGCACTCCATAAATACTTCAGTGAAAAAGTATGAGTCAAGGAATTAGTGGGTGAACAAATGAAGAAAAAGTCACACTCCGTGTCTCCATCGGTCCCTGCTGCCATAATAAAACACATCAGACCGAGTGATTCATATATAAACCATAGGAACCTTTTTGTGTGTGTAGTTCTGGAAGCTGGAAAGTTCAAGATCACAGTGCCAGCAAAACTCACCGTCTGGCAAAGGCTTGCTCTGGGTCATAGACAGAGATTCTTCACACCCTCACATGACAGAGAGCAAATGGCCCCTCACACCTCTTCTATAGGGCGCTGTCATGGTTTAGATCTTTCATGCCCCTCACAGTCTCATGTGTTCAATGGCGAGGCTTTTGGAAGGTGACTGAAAATGGGGGCCCTGTACTGGGTTGATCCATGGAGGAGTTCTTAGCTGAAGGTGCTGGGAGGAGGTGGGGCTGATTAGAGGAGTGGGTCTCCCTTCTTTCTCTCTCTGCGTCCAGCCTGCCATGACTCGAGCAACTTTCCACTACCCAGGCCTTTCCACCATGCTGGTCCTGCCTTGGAGCTAGCCAGCCAGGAACTGGAGCCAAATAAACCACTCTTCCCTGAAGGTGCAGCTTTAGGGTACCCTGTCCCAGCGATGGGAAAGCAGCTAACACAGGCACTGGTCTCATTCCTAATGGCTCTGCTTTCACGACTCAATCACTTCCTAAAGACCTCAACTTGTGATAATATCACACGGTGATTGTCAACACACGAACAGGGTGTACAATCAGACCCTCACACTCAGGTTAGGACAGTGGACACCCACCCCAGACATCAACTCTTCTTCCTATCTTTAGGGCACTCAAGATTACAGGAAGTTTTCTAGAGTACAGATAATCAGAAAGAAAAGAAGCCTGAAATGTCTCCAAATACTGTACAGTTAACAGGATGAGGAGACTACAAACTATAAAGTTAACTGACAGGCCTAAGACTGGGGAAGGGAATCTAAGCAAGAAAAGAAATGTTACAGCCGTCTCCGAACACTGGAAGGACAGTTGGGAAAGGGTTGCGTTTATTCAGCAAATGTCCACCAAGCTGCAGGGACTGAGGGAGAATCCAAGTGTGTCCCCCCAAAATGGGGTTAGATTTCCTGTCTTTGACTCCAGAGGACTTGGGGAGACATTTGGAAAGAGATCTGAATACGTCATAAGGCACAGTCCAAGTCGGTATTTCTTAAAGCACATAACAGGGGCGTGTGGGTTGTTCACTTGGGTTACAGACAAGAAAAAAATGCATTCCTGGGCCAAAGAAGTTTAGCAGTTCTTCTGAGATGAAGTCCGACTTCTCAAATCCGGCATCACGGATGCTGTTCCTCGGCGTGGGAGTCCACGGGATGAGCACATTACCCTCCCTGCACGGTGACAGTGCTTATTAACTGCAGGGAAGTGGCCTGCAGCCCCACTCCCGAAGGGACACTGAGGCATGCCCCTGAGACACTGGGCACCATGCACCACAGACGCCAGCCTCCACTCTGTGCCCTCTGCCCACCCAGTCCCTTCTGCTCATCCTGTCTCTACTTCCACACTCTTTCCATCCTCACTTTGAACCTGGCTTTGATGATCCACCCTGTACCCTCCTACCCCGCACCTGAGCTCTGCCTGGCAAGGGTTCTGGCTTCCTCCCTGAGCTACTCAGGGCCATCCTGGCAAAGCTCACCCTGCCTCAAGTTTCCTACCCAGCTCACTGTGCAGCAAAGAGGGAGACTCAGACCAGCTCTTGGGGAGGGAGGGCACACACAAAAGACAGTCTGGGCTTTTTGATATTCAAATATCTAGCCTGCTCTTATTTCCACAACTTCTGACAGAGCTGAGATTCTGCAATGCTTATTTCTAGGTACAATTTTAAATACTTAGGCACCTGGGAAACCAGGTGTCTGTTTCTGCAGACTCTGGAGTTACTCTTGGAACTCGGGTGCTTTGCCACAGAGGTAAATGAGAAAAAGCCACTCATGAAACGTCTCTGGGGCAGGCCCTGCTTCCAGCCGCATGAATAAAACCCCACCCTGACGTTGCAGGTTGCATGAAATCCCTGCAGGAACAGCGACTGTCCTGCAAGCTCCGTCCTCTTACCTTGTAACTTGAGTTCTCATTCCAAAATCCAGGGACCTCATTGACTGCAGCACCTCAATGCAGCCCATGTACTAGAATAAGAAGAAAAAAGGAGGATTACAATACCACCAAGTTTTTTCTGCACCACACCGGGACTTCCGGGGAAGTCACTTAAATCAGCTCCGGTCATCCAGTTACATCTGCACATGCAGAGGACCACTGACATTTCTGACCATTCCTGGGCACGCGCCTTACACCTTAGGCTGGCTGTGAGACATTGGCTTAATCCAAACTGTAATATCAGAAATGCACAACTCTGCCAAGTGAGCACAGAGACCAATGGAGGATCTGTGGTTACGAGTGTGGGCTGGGGGCCAGACCCTGCGAATTTGCATCAGGGCTCTGCCTTTTCTTTCCTGTGCAGCCTCACCCAACTGTTCACCTTTCCTGGATCTCAGGTTTTGTCACTAGTAAACCAGAAATATAGTTAGAGTCATTGTGAGGGGTACCGTATTTCACAGATATAAAGCTGTCAGAACTGGATGGATGGGTAGTTATACATATGGATGGATATATGCATGTAGAGGTACCCAAATATTAGAGGAAGAAAAAATAAATAAGAGATAAATAATGCAGGGTTGCCAGATCTCATGACAAGCTGTAACAAGTGCATAAATACCTAGCACACAACATTTGGTGACACGAGATTTTACCATCCTTTGCAAGATCACTGAACTGGTGAAGTCGTTCAGCAAAGGAAGAGAGCCCCAGCCCACACCTGGGACTGCAGGCTGAGCCTGAACTGGCGGGGGCGGGGGCGGGGGGGGGGGGACACAGCAGTTGTTCGATTGGAAAGGCAGCTCAGCCAGGGAGCCCCTAGATCCATCGCCTGGGTGGGCGGGGCAGGGGAGGCTGCAGGGGCAGAGGCAGAAGGTGGGAAGTGTGGGGGGAGCAGGACGGTCCTCCCAAGGGGAGGAAGTGGTGACGGCCACGCGGAGGGGAGGAGGAGCTGCCAGTGACATCAGCGGAACACACTGAGGAAGGCTCCTTGGTGGATGCGTCTTGGAGAAGCTGTGAGGGATGAGTCGGGCTGAGTCAGACCCTCTGGCCAAGGGGGTACAGGCAACAGCAAGGCCATCAGCAGCCCGGGAGGTCAAGAAGGGGGAGAACTGTCTTGAGACCCGCTGGCAGCTACCTCGGTGGTGGGGTGGCCGGGAAGTCACAGGGAGCAGCTGAAAACTGCATTCCAGCTCCTGGAGATGAAAGAGACTGGGGATGCAGGCCGGGCCTCTGTAGCTGCTCTGCCAGGCGAGGGAGGAAATCCCGTCTGCAGAGCCTGGGCAGCCTTGGCCTGGGCCAGTCAGGAGAGCCCAGAAAGGGGATCCCTTTCTGCTGGGTTTTGCTTTGCAAGCCTTTCAGCCGCCTTCTGCTTGGAAATGATCAAGCACCATGGAAAGATGGCAGCAGCAGGGGCCCGAGCCCTCACCCGCACCGCACCGCTCACAGGGCTTCTCAGCAGGCGCTGTCACCTCTACTGCTAAAGTCCAGGGACAGCCCATCCTGCCTTTTTCCACACACCAAATCCAGTGTCCTGGGACTGGGGACAACACGCTGGCCTGGACATTCTCAGCCAGACCCGTTAGTCACACTCCTCCCAAGGCCTCTGGGATAGACTCAAGGACCATCCTGGGTTCCATCCCATCACCCTGGACTTCCTGAGGCTTGGGTGATGTCTGCAGGTTTCTTTGGAGTAAACCATAAGGCGTTATTTGGAAAAAGAAGTCAGATTTAGGGGGTGCGCTAGAAAACCCGTTTCAAAACCTGTCACAAAAAAGAGGCTCCCAGGGCCCGTGCTCCACACACAGGTGGGTGGAAAGTCTGTGGCCTCCTCTTGCCCCTCGGCCCCATCAGCCCCAGATCCTAATCTAGCTCCCTGCTGAAGCAAATAAATAACAGAAAGCCATGAGACATGAACCAAGAAGGCAGACAGGGTAAGGATGACTGGATCAAAATATTAAAGTGCTGATACCTCAAAGAAACCCTGTCCCTCAAGACCCCCAGGCATGCACAAGCCTGCGAGTACACAGCCCCCACCTGTGTGTGACCTCATCCCCTCCCCAGCAGGCTCTGGAGGCCAGGACGCTTCCTCCAAGAACCCTGTGTGGTCAACGTCTCCCCCTCTAGGAGTCCAGGGGACCAGGACTCCTATCCATCCCCTGCAACGCAGCCTCTCATATCCCAGGACTTTAGGAGACCCAGTGCCCACTCTGCAAGTGTTTTACTTCTTTCACTTAACTCTTGGAACTCTTTTAAAATAACTCTTACTTGGGGCTGGAGGTTTAGCTCAGCAGCATAAGCGCCTGCCTTGCAAGCAGGCAGTCATGGGTTCGATCCCCGGTACCGGTACTGATGAAAAGGAAAAAGACAAAAAACAAAAACACCTCTTACTGTTTCTGAGTGTCCTGTTTGATTCTTTGTCAGGAAGGCACAAATCTAAGAACAAGTCTCCTGTGACAGGGTGCCCACCCGAGCACATGGTCTCCTACACCAGTGGTTCTGGGCAGAATGAACACCCCCAGGTCTGGAAACACCCACACCCCCTGGGACAGACGCTGTGGTGTTGCAGAATTAGTGTCACCATCATCTTTCTCGCAGCTGAGTCACAAAAGGGTTTCTCAGTGCTGGAAGGTAGCCAAGCTCCTGTGTCTTTCACTCCGCACAATGAATTTCCAGAAGCTGCTTTTTCACCTAACATTTAGCCCCAAAACAAACTGTAGGTTACTGTAAAGCCCTGGGCCCTGGTTTTCTGGCACCCACTCACCCCTCAGCCTGGTCCATCCCTTTCCCCGTGCTCTTCCCCGTCACCCCTTTTCCTTCCATTCCTCAGATTCACTCAGTCTTTCCCAAAGGTGGGCCTCAGCACCACCATCCTGGGCGCCTGTCTTCCCCCTGCTCTGCAGCTCTGATTCTTCTTTATCCTTTAGGCTCCAACCTAAGTGACACCACTCACAGATCCCTCCCACCCCCTTCCCCACAGCCCCCATGTGCCACCATGTCACTGAAATACCAGCTGGACTTGATCATTTTCTTGCTTGTTCCTTTGATTAGGAGCATCCTAAGTGACAGACCAACCACCACCATAATCCACCACCTGGCACCTGCTGGGTACTCAATAAACACTGTCTGGAACGTGGGGATGGCATCTAGTGTCCAGCTCTACCAGCCTTTAAAATGAGCAGGGAAGGACGCTGAACTTCTGAGCAGCCTCTCCACCCAAGGGACAAACAGGGCAGTGCACCAAGGTCTCAAGAGGGTTGGCAGTATTGGGCTGGGGACAGAGCCAGCCCTGGACAACCCAGTGGGTAGAGGGAGTTTCAGGAGAATAAGCTGCATTCTGAAGAGTTGGGGGACAGAGACAAGGGAGCCAGCTAGGGCAGAGACACTCTAAGCCTGCTGAGAACCAAGATCCATGTGAGGGACAGCATCAGTGTGGGGACACCTCCCAGCCCAGGGAGATGGGTCAACAATGGTGGCATTTGGCTTTCAATGAGGATGGGGTCTTCAGCACTCTGGGAGGAAAGGAGAGAGGACCCCAAGCCTGGTCCTTGATGGCAGTATCGCCAACCCCTAGCCAGGGTGTTGGGATCCCCTTCCCTGCTGGTTATCTGCCCTGTCATACTTGTCTGTCAGCAGCCTCCCAGGGGACACCTTCAACCACCCTCGCTGTCACCAACGCAAGGTCTGAGATGGCCTGAGATGACAGCAATGGCACAGTTCCCCTGCCGCAGGACGATGGCCCCAGAGCTGGGGCCGAAGCTTGTCTTCCCCTGCTTTACAGCCCATTTTACTTAAGGCCATGTGGTGAGGGCTGGGGAGGGCGCGGTGCTTAAAAGGCTTTGTCCACTGCCAAGTGATACCCTCAGGAGCAGAGAGCAACAGCTACCAAGACCCCAGGGAGGACAGCTCAGCACAGGTGACATAAACCGCAGGGAGGACCCCCACTCACTAAGGAAGTGCAGGGCGGCATAAAACACGGTCTCTGTTCTCAGAAAGACACCCCGCAAAGATAGGACGACCAGGGAACCAGAGGACCTGTCTGTCTCCGGGAGGCAATTCATGGCACTTTAACAGCTCCCTTTAACAGATGAGGGATGAAAGCCGGTGACAGGACCAGGCCTGGCTCCATCTTTCACAGAGTGAGCTAGGGTTTATTTCAGAGTCCGCAGCCCAGGGCTGGGAGCCTACAGGACCGAATGAGAAAGGGAAGGTGGCAGGAGAGCAGATGAAGAAGCGAGCTGCTCTCCAGGGCGCAGGCAGTCGTGATACACTGCAAATGTGCACTAATAAAAATTAAAATTTAATTTAAAAAAGAAAAGGGGGACCTGGGAGGAAGAGGGCGTGGCTGCTCTGCAGGGTACCGGTTTCCTTCAGGAGTTATAAAGATGTTCTCACAGTGGTGACAGCTGCACAGCTCTATAAACATAAAAACACCCACACAATACTTCACACGCTTTATAGGGTGCGCTGTACGGCACATGAAATGTATCTCAATTAAACAATTACTGGGGTCAAGGGTATAGCTCAGCAGCTCAGCACCTGCCTGGCAAGCATGAGGTCATCAGTTCGATCCCCAATACAAAAAACAAACAAACAAACAACTACCAACTAAAGGTCTGTGAGTGCGAGTGACCTCTGGCAGGGATGGGTAATGATCCATGGGCGAGGCTCTGAACTTGGTACCGTTGTGTGAAAGCTTGCCCAGCACCTAGAGGCAGGGTTTGGGGCTCTCTCTATGGGTCGAAGGACCAAAGGATCTGTTTCCACACTGGTGCCCGCTGGGCTGAGGGCTGCCTGGCACAGGGCGGGCATCTCTGTCATCTCTCTGCCCAGCGCCGCTCACAGTGCGATCAGTGATTGATGTGAATGAATTTGCCGAGAACGATGTTCAGGAAGTCTCAAAATAGCCTGTGTAGTCATGGCACTGTCTGTAACCTGCTCCTTCTTAAGGTCTCTGTCACCTGTGACAGGGACCCTGGGCCACGCTGGCCGAGGTTCCTTGAGGCGGGTTAGATGTGGAACATGGATCACATGG